CACCCCCGCCCCCTCCGTCCATCAGATCCGGCCTCGGGCCTTGCGAGCACCACGTGGGGCATCTGTCTGCTGCTCGCAGGCTCACTGGGGGCCCCCAGCACAGACCCCGACTTTGAGCAGGCTTCCAGTGACCCGGGAGACACGGCACCGGGGCAGAGTTTGGGGAGGGGGACGGGGGTCATGCGTTTCTTTATTGCCACAGGGAGAGTCAGTGCGGTCCACGGCCAGACCTGCCCCAGTCCTGTTAAAAATAAGCAGGTGCATCGAAACGGAGGCAAAGCCGGAAAGAGACGCGCCGGAACCTTAAGGACTCTGGTTCCCTCCGCGCACGGAGGCGGGGCCGAGGAGGCGGGGCCGAGGAGGCGGGGCCGAGGAGGCGCGTGGACGGAACGCCCGAGGTTTCTAGTTCAGATACGAATTAGGGCAAGGTCACGTTCATGCGCCTGGTTGGCAAGCGCGTCTCGAGAGCGCTTCTCAGTCAGACGCCGTTTGAAATCTGTGTCGCTGACCATGCCCGCTGGGTCCAGAGTCCCCGACTGTGCGGGCGCCGGGTGGGCGTGTCTGTCCCCTCCGGGTGGGGCCACCTCCCCGGACCCCGCCTTCTCTCGGCAGTGACTTCTCAACACTCGACCCCACGCCCTGGTCACGGAGCAGACTCCAGACGTGCGGGCCGAGGTCTCGGCACAGAGCTGCCTTGCTGTCCCTCTCGCTCATGCTCGTCGCACTGTCACACACTCTGGGCCTCTGAAGGGAACAAGACGACGGAGTTGAGGAGACGGGGGGGGGGCCCATCAGGGAGCCCGGGGGGACCTACTCCCCGGGCTTGTCCCCGGAGACTAATGGGATGCCTTCCTGCTGGTGCTGAGCTGTGCCACAGGCCACGCCGTGACGTGGCACACGCGCTCGAGGCCTGGGCGTGTGTGGCTGTGTGGCCGCCGGACTCTGGGGGCCCGTCAGGGACTTCACCGGGCGTTCACCGACGTCCTTCACACCGACGTCGTGCCGTTTCCATTTCCGGCTTTGTTGAGGTCTGAGGACAGGTGGAGGTCGTGTGTGTTCCAGGTGGGAACGCGGTATTTGGAGGCGCAGATGCGTGGTGAGGAGGTGGCCGTCACCTCACGTCATCTTTCCGTGGGGAGAACCAGGGTCTCGTTGTGACGGGGGAGTCAGGCGCAGTGTGGGCTCCCTCTGTGATGGGAGGACGCTGGCTGGACGTGAGCCCCACAGGAGGCCGATGGCTCAGGGGCTCAGCCTGCAGCGGGAGGAGGGCGAGAAGCAGGCGGGGCCCCCAGGCGGGCAGACGGTGCAGGGGACACAGGTTTTGTCCCCGCGGTGAAGGCTGGTGCGGGAGCAGCCCCTGCCTGCAGGTGTGTGCGCCGTGCCTGCCCTCGGCCCCAGGGGCGTCTGCCTGGTCCGCGTCCGGTGAGTGGAGGGACTCGGCCTCCCTCCCAGGTGCTGTGACGCTCACACCCCGTGACGCCTGTGACTGCAGCGAGCCTGCTGCTCAGACATGTCGAGAGGGCACAGTTATTCTTATAGGTCTCATCCAGTTAATCTCTTCTGAACGTGGGGCTGCCGGTCGGGCCTGATTGCTGCCCCGCGGCCGAGCGGTCGGCCGAGGTCTGTGTCCCTGTACTCTCCGACGCCAGGTTCCACTGTGCTGTGGCGTCGACTTGCAGACCTCTCTGTCCCCCTGTAGGAGCAGCTGTCCCGAGTCAGGGGACACCGTCGGGGCTGCAGTGCGTCCACCTACCTCACGCTCTGCCCGGAGAAGCGCGTGCGCCCCCCTGGTGGGGCCGGAACTGCCCCAAACGCAGCCGAGGCAGAGGCTTTGCTCCTAGGTTTCCGTGTGATTCGCAGGGAGGCGACAAGCAGTAAATACCGATGACGTTTTCTTCATTTCTTGGAAAGAGGAGTCTGTTAGTGGTGGCAGAAAAGGAGCCAGTGGTGAAAGACAAGTCACTGTCCCTGAGATCTCGATGTCATCAGCCAGCCCCGCGTCAGCACCTGGCAGAGAGGAGGACGGGGGTGTGTGGGGG